GCTCTGCATTGTTATGCATGGCCCTCATGTAGATTCAGGGGGGTGGATTAAGTTGGCTTCCAAAGGATCTATTGTGTGTAGCATTAATTTACAGGGCTCTTGATATTCGAGTCTGAAGATTTACAACTTCAGTGTTTACTTAGATGAACTACATCCTACATTTGTTTATTTCCGTCTGCAGTCTCTTATTTCCTAATAAATGTTACATTTATATTTGTTACCAGCAAGAATGATGTTATAAATCTGAAAGAAATAATTATACATATTTACAATCATTTATATTAAAATGTTGATCCTGATTCTCCAGAGTAACCCTCCACTATTGTGTCTATTGAAGGCAAAATAGATAAATTCATTTTTTGAGATTATGCTTACATTCTAGATAAACAGAAGCACGCAGATAATATAGTTTGGAATGAATCTTTAATTGTAGCCTATTCCTAAAGGATAACTTTCTCTAATATTATCGTAATTTTTCCTTGTTTTTCATATAGCTGTATTATAAATACATGGCTTGCAAAAATTTCTTCCTTTCATTTTTAGTGGAATAAAACCACTATAAGATTGTTCATCACTTTCTTTTGTTACCATTTGAATGGTTACTTGTAAAGAGTCAGTCATGACTTTCCAATCATGTATTTTAAAAAATGTTGTTAAACTGTTATTCACAAACAGCTCTGTATATGTTTTAGATATTAGAACTCTTCAGAAGTCTCATCTTCCAAGGTTAAATTGTAAACTTTCATTCAGAAACATTTCACCACCACCATTAACCCCACACTCTCCCGCCTCCCCTCCCTGGATTCTATAGGCCAGTGCTAACATGAATTTAAAATTCAATATGAATGGCTGGGAAGGAAAAAAAGGGGGGGGGGCACACTCATTGGAACCAACTCTGGTGTTAATCTGGATTTAGGGGCTTAATTGTATAGAAGTACATTATGCTTGAACAACTGAAGTTTCTATTATTTGGAAGCCTTTTTAAAAATAGAAAACAACACCAAAGAATGTTGAATATTTTATTGTGCATTTTCTTCTTTTGGTTAGTATTTTTGGTTAAGTTATAGATAACTTAATGTTGTTACTTGTAGAATTATTCATGTCAGCCTTTATATTTATAGGTCTTGTGTTATTGTAGAGAAAACTAATTTTCTTAGACATCAGAGCCTGGGATTAAAGTGACCTTGGGTTGGTCTCTAAACCTCATTTGGACCTTATTTTTCCATCTGTTAAAATAAGAATGATAGTCTGAGTTCTAGTCCTAGCAGTAAAATTCTAAGAATCTCTATACTGTTAATACTTTTTGAAAGAACTTCCAATAAAACAAACTCCCGACACCCCTGAATATCCAGTAGGTTCAACAATCACATTCACCAATCTTTATATAATTACAAATTATAATTCACAGTTGTGAAATCTTATAGCAAACTGTCAATATCTGTTTACTCTTAAATTAGTAACTGTGAAAGGTACATTTTATTGCATTGAATTATTTTTATTTTCGTCATGCAGTTTCCCTTGTCTTCCTGTGACTGTAAGGCAATCCATTCAAAAATAGAATTCAATTTATTGATTTAGCAAATTTTTCTTGAGGACCCATCATATGCCATGCATTTCAGTAAGCATGTAGAATACAGAAACCATATAGATAGATAGGTAGATAGATAGATAGACAGATATGTACATTTGCTCACATTTATGGTTTGCTCATGGATAATTTTGCTATGGCAGTGTCTGTGCCACAATAGATGAGTAATAAGTGCTTATTAATTGCATCGAAAATTTATGGATAGATGAATCCATAGATGAATGTATGGATGGATGGATAAATGAATTAATTCCCTTAATGTATTTATGATTTACATTAGGGAAGTAAGTTGTATGGGTATAGTTCAGTTAATTATACTAATAGTAAGGTATTGAAAATCTCTATGCCAAGGTTGGCTCAGGTAATTTTTATTAGAGAAACAAAATACCAAACAAAATTGATGTAGTATGGAGACACGGCTTGTAGTATTAAACAGTTCTGATTAGAGATACGTTCCAAATGTCATATGTGATGAACATCTGCTCATTTATGCTTCCTTTAGTTGAGACTTGGTCTTCATCTTAAAATTGTTATGTTGTACTTAATACAGTTGTTGTAATATGGGGAGAGAAACACCATCAGATGAAAATACCAAGATTTCAAATGCTCCACAGAAACTGCATAAAAAGCCACTGCAGTACAGTGCATTTTGTCAAAAGAAGGAAAGAGAAATTAATTTGTAGCTGCTACTCAGATGAGAATAGCAATAATTATAGTGGAGATAACAGTTTACTTTTTTATTTTCCTTATTAAATACCAAATATAGTCTTCAAAGCTTTATATTTATTATTCAGTTAAAATTTGCTACTGCACCTATAAGTAGGCATTATTTTATCCATGTTTCATAGGAAGCAACAGGTTAAGAGAAACAAGATAAATTTATTTTAGTAGAAATGTGACCAATGCCAGGACTGAAATGCAGTGAAGTTTTCCTGATACCCAGGTATCTCCTCTTACTCACTTTGTTACTTCTCTCCTGTCCTTGCAGTCAAAACTGTCTAGCTGTTTTAGGGTTGCTAATAGACAACCTTGTTCTTCTGTAGTTTCTCAGGTGACTGCTGGGTACAAGTACTCATTGTAGTTCAATATAAGAACAGCTTCCAGAACTGTAATCCGTCAAAGGGAATTTGATTATTCTCTTGACCAAAATCTAGAAATGCAACCTTTTTCATGGCAATAGCTGTAGTAATTCTAGAAACTTCTAATAGGATAGGAGATAGAAATATCTGCTTCTTAAAAGTAAACATATGAGTATGCCATTATAAAAATAATGAAGAAAGTATTAATCAATAAAAGGTGTGTATATGGAACTTGCCAACTTGTTTATGGAGAATGACACTTGTATATTATCATTATAGTCAAAAGTATGAGAATTTCCAAATCTGAACTGGGAACATAGGAAAACATTTAATACTTTTATCCTCCCAAAAGGCAAATATAATGCAATGAGGGAAGAATGAGGAAAAGCAGCTGCAAGCATACCAGGATTAGATGTCTGATCTACTACTTTGACAACTGTAAAAACATATTTGATCACTGATGTCATTACTGGAGAGCCTGCTATAATTCTATGGAGTTTGTAGGCAACCTGCCTCTTCATGCTTCTAGGGTTGCCATTTCTTGTTTATTATATTAGAAGGAACTTGCCATAAGGATGTTTACAGCTATAAGAATATGAGCAGATTGATATGCATACAAAAAACAGGACTTATTCTGAGTAAAAAGAATTCAAGGTAGTAACTAAAGTGTAGAGTTTCTTTCAAAGTATAAAAAAATTAACACTGTTAAATGTCATCAATAGGAAGATATTAAAAGTAATTTTTATTTAATCTGTTCAGGTAGAACAGTGTACTATGCATACCAATAATGGGGCCTCTCTCTCTCTCTCTCTCTCTCTCTCTCTCTCTCTCTCTCTCTCTCTCTGTCTCTCTCTCCACCTCTGCCTTTCTGTGCTGGGGCTCAATTTCACAACCTCACACATGGTGGACAGAGTGTTCTACCACTGAACTAGTATCCATCCAGTCTTTCAAAACCTAAAAGTTTTGATTTTTTGACCTTAATGTGTTTTCCTTAAAAGAGAGTGATTTGGTGCCAGGTGACTTTGAGAGCAAACCCTTGCTAGCACAGTTATTATGTAGTTTTAAGGCAATACCTTAATCATTAGACCTCTGTCATCCATTGTGTCATCTACTGTGTTATCCTGCAGAGAAAGAGAATGCTACCTTTCAGGGCTGTACTCAGAGTTCAATAGAATATATAGGAAACCCTGAACAAGGTACTTATTCTAAGCTTTGAGGGAATGGTGTCACATTTTAATAATGACCAGATGCCTAAGAAATCAAGACACTGGCAGAGGAATTAAAAAGAACGTTGTTAGCAATGCAAAGGGCAATCCAATGATGAAAAGTTAATTTAAAATGGACTGAACCAAGAAAGAAAGTGAGTCAAAAAGCCAAAATATAAAAAGACAGGTACTCTCAGCAGAAAATAAAAATCATGTAGCACTATTTTTACTTTTGGAATTATGTTCTTATAAGTAAACAAAATACCTCAAGAGAAAGAATAATAATAATATAAAGCTATAGGGGAATGAAACAAAAACAAATTAAATTAAATATGAAACTTGTCAAAGAGTGGTTGAACAATACACAGAGAACAATGTGATAAAACAAAAAGCTCTGGGTAGTCGTGAGGAAAAGACAAAAGAAAAACAAAGAAACATGGGAAAGACAGAAAAAAAAAGCAAACACAAATATACAATAAATGCTTGAAGGAAGCATATTTTTCAAGTCAGTAGAACACACACAACTGTGCTTTTAATTCTGTCAGTACAAAGATATATCTGAATGGAAAGAACAAAAAGCAATGATTTTTAAAATTCTTAAGTTAAAATGGGATTTTTTTTTAAAAGCACGATATGTGTGTGTGTTTTCAAATGCAAAGAATTTTGGAATTTTGACATGGCAGTGACAGAAATGAGAAAATTTCATTGCATATCAACCCAATCAGTGAAAATAAATTTTGCAAACTGCAATTGTTCCAAAAAATACATTAGTGATCTTATCAAATAAGAACATTCACAAGCATCATTTTGCTGACAGCAACACAAATGTTCCCAGCCACACATACATCAAGTCACCTAAAAATTCTTTGGGGATCAATTCCTTCCCTCTTGCATGACAAAGTAATATATATATATATATATATATATATATATATATATATATATGATTTTAGGCCAAATAGACTTGGTCCTGTTTACATGTCACTGCTCTGGAGCACCTATCTGGCTTTGCTATGCTTTGTTTTAGTTTGTTTTCTGATTACTTCAATTCAAAAATACCATCCTATCGTCTTTCTTAATTTCTGCATAGCCCTGGGCTTGCAGGTTCCTCTCCTTAATAATGATCTCCCCAACATACTGATTCTGTGCATCCTTAACACTGAGGCCCCTCGCCTGCAGCTGGAGGCAGCTCTCTGCTCAGCCTGCAGTGCAGAGTGACACAGGCAGGCGACATCGTCACTAAGCATCAACTTCTCTTACATGGAGGAGGCAGAGAGTGAAAACCATTCGGAACCGTGACAAGGCATGAGAGAAGCAAAGGTAATCCTTCCGATTCTATATCCAATTTTTGTAAAAATCAAATAAAGCCATCTGAAGGACAGAAATGAGTAAAGGAGGTGAGGAAAGGGTGGGGAATTTTGTGTTAAAATTGATAAACTAGAAAAATGTCCACTACACAGTTAAGAAATAAAGTGCAAACACAGAAAGGGAGGAGTCTCTGTGATACAGATATTAGATCTCTGCATATATATATATATATACTGTATGTATGTTTAAAGTAAAGTCTAATGCTAAATGAATGAAATATGCTTAGCATATATAAAAAGTTGTGCTGGTGAAAATTGCATAAGAAGTAAGCTGCAGTCTAATACGTAGAAGTAGGGAAGGAGTTACTGTCTTACTGACATCTCCAAGTTGGGAAGGACTTTAGAGATTACTTGGGATGAATGAACACACCTAATACTTTTCTTTCTTTAAAGGGGTAGCTGCAAAGTTTTGGACAAGATCTCTGCAGGCAACTGGAAGCACAGTGTACCCAGGTGGTGGGTCTCGTCTGTGGCAATATATTTTTTTTGTCTGTCAAATTGAATATGGCTATAAAGGGAATAAAACCCCATGTAATCTCCAGCAGTGACAATTTAATCAGTTATATGGGGGCTGGGGGTGGGAATGCCTTCATTAATATTTGCATATTTGATTTTTTGCAAAAGAGGAATGGAAGTTGTGTTTGCTATTGCTTTACATTCAATTTAATATCTAATCTTTATGAGCAAATATATGTAGCGGTAAGTAGGTTTTATGGAGTCAAATACATTGAAAAGAAAAAAAAAAATGGATCCCAATTCTGAAATTAAGCACTTGATGCTGCATGCTTTGTGTAACATTTTCCCCTCCGAGAATATATATATATATATATATATATATATATATATATGAATATATATGGAAAACATGGCTTTCAAGCATCCAGCTTTGCCCATGATTCATTTGCTGTTAGCATTCAGAGATCCACCCTGAAAATGAAAGCAACTGTTTGGTGAACAATGCAAATGACAAGAAATGTACCCTGATACGGACAACTCATTTATTAATATTTTTAAAATGGTAAATCTTACTGACTACATTTGTTTCTAAAGAAGGAGGGTTTCTGAAATGGTTTATAAACACAGTGGTCAATTCTTATGAGGTTATATGGGAGCATATAGTTAAATTAATAAAACTGCATTGTTTGTAAAATTGGCAAATGATATTTTTGCTTTTAATGTAATAATAGATTATGAGATAGAATTTAAGATAAATAAGAAGCAAATAACTTAAATTTGTTGTCAATTACTCTTGTGTTTTTCTCATGAGTATGTTGATAAACTCTTCAAAGTGGTGTTGGATTTGAATTACTGGAAGATAGAAAACTGTTTCTTTATGCATTACTGCATGTTAGCCTACACTTGTGAAAGCCTCAAATGTATGATGGATAATTTAAAAAATATAAGGATAGTACCTACTTTATTAATGATTCAGAATTTCCTTAAACATTAAATGAAATCTGAAGCCAACTTTTCAACAGAGGGAGAAAAATAATTATTTTAATTATATACGGTTTCTTAAAACACGAAAAACATAAGCAAAAGTTTTAAAAAATTTATGGTAACTTAATTATATATATATTCATACTCATGTATATATGTATATATGTATACTTGCCCACATATATGTACATTAGCAAATAAATGTGTGTATATGTACATGTATAAATATATGTATATTTAAATGTGTCCCAAACACTGCTAACAAAATTCAGTGAGGAATGACCAAAATTTGGAATTACGAAAGGATAAGAAAGATATTTTGTTCAAACCAAAGCAAACTTCTTTTTAATTTTTGTCCATGAAAAGTATGCCAGAAGCAGTACACAGACATCATTAGATGACAAGTATAAAATCCTTTGGGAGAGAGTACAGATTAGCATTAAATCGAAGCACATAATATGTCAAGCTTTGAGTCTGTTCTTGTTTACTCAAACCTGAATTCTGATGATCAACCTTTTAGAAAGGTTGCATATATATGAATATGTGATCCAGTGATTGCATATTCAAATTAACCCAGTTTCTTTTAATATGATCTGCTGATTGAATGATTTCCCAAACACTGCAGCTCCTCAGAGAAATATGCTGATGTCTTAGCATATCTGCTTAAGGCCTGGCAGGTTCTCAATATGCCAAGAAATACTTTACCTAAACGCATAGCTCAGGCTTTAATCAAAATGACTAGGTCCACACTAAAGCAATTAATCATATGATTGCTTTCACTGGAGCCCAAATTCATAAGTATCTTTCCTTCAGGCAGACTGATCCTAGTGGATCTAGACAGTGATGCCAGTGTGTTGAATTACCTTAGAAGTACATGTCTTTGAATTTAGAGTCACATATGCAGACCATGAACCCATTTTATTAGAGGTTGCCTTTTCAGAACTGATACTTTACATTTCAGGGGACATAATTGTTCCCTTAAAAAATAAGAATGGAAGGTGTGGGATGAAAGTGAAGACAAATTCCAAATATACCTAATTTTATTTGGGTATTTTAGAGCAGGGCTGTTTGCTTACCCTGTTCTTCTTTCAAAGATGATGACACTGGATTATACTAGCTCACAACCCTCAAAATATAACTGATGTGGAAAATGTAAGCGACAAAAATGCTAAGGAATGCAATTTGCAATTGAATAAGGTACTTTAGAAAGATGTATGTGTGCAGACAGACACAGACACGTGTATATATGTGTATGCTTGTAAACTTACTAAAACTAGCAATTTCACTAGTCATTGCTGGACCTGACAATATATCAAATATGAACTGAAAGTTTTCTAGCATTTTCTTAGTCCCTCATAGGAAGTTTCTGCTGGCATATAAGTATCATTTTTGGTTAGCATCCTTTAAATTTATTTCTTCAAAAGTAAACTGTTCAAGAGTTTTTTTGGGTTTTTCACATGTAAAGATGAGTATAAATGAAGGCCTGAGCAACAAAGTTTCTATTAGATTTGTCTTTTTCTAAAAATTTTCCACATTATCCTGATGATCCTTCACATGCAATTTAAATATAATAGACAATGGTCACATCCTCTTAAAGTGCTAAGAAATATGTGCTTTCAATATGGACAGAAATTTGGACTGCCATGAAAACCTTATGGAAAGCATGCGATTGGCTCTCATACATATTTCCATGGTTCAGAATTTAACAATTGTATCATAAAGAAATTATACTTATGATATTTTAGATATTAGGATCTTCTAAAATAAAAGGAATCAGGTATTCTAGAGATTTTCTTTAAAATTATTAAACAGATTCTTTTTGAATCTGAAAACATGTCCAACAAATTCAGCCAAAACTTTCTTCTGGGTTCAGTTTTCAAGCACTAAAATACAGTGTTTGCTTATGTCCAAGTGTTTAGATGCATGGCAAAGCATTTATCAACTGACTTGGCAAGCTGTGTCCCAATCAAAGTTTATGATCGACCTCACTCTTCATGTTTAAAGCAGAAAGTTTCAATAATCTCGAGCTCTGAAGGGTGTTTTGGACACAGGAAGTAAAGAATGTGAGGAAAAAGATGCCTAGGAAACCAAATTTTCTCACATTTTCTGAGATAGCAAACCTGATGGACACTGGAACACATTTGGTCTTGTATATCAAGTAATTCATTCATTTTTTCTATTCATAAAAAAATGGACACATACATGAATCTTAAGCTAATAATTAGGAAAAAAACTTTTTAGTAATATGGAGTACACTAGCAGCATGTTCAAGGAATGATTAACCGGTGCATGTGCCTGTCCTGTCCTCCCAGTTGCTGGATGGAGAAGAGGCTGCCTCCCTATAGCCCAAGGCTCACAGCTTACTCCTCTCCTCTGTCTATTCTTGGCTGTGGATTCCCCTGTGCTCTTTGTGCACTTTAAGTTTAATTTTGCATTTAAAAACTCAATTGGCTCATCTGTTAAGCATTAAGTAGCTCCCTTTTGAGCCACAGGGGGAGCCCTGGGAAAACCCACAGCTGCTGGAACATGGAAAATGGGTTTAAAAAAACAAAACCATTTTGGAACTTTAAAGCATTTTAGCAGCCGTGGATTTCCCAATCCTTACCCCCCAAATGGTTCATCTGTTTAACTTTTATCTGGTATTGGAAAACACAAACTGGAGCATTAAATAGCCCTCAAATGACTTTTTGTTTAATACAAAATGAAAGTAGAAGCTAAGCAAGCCATGTGGTAAGAGCTCTGTGAGAGCTGTGGCCTGAAATATCTACAAGCCTCCCTTCAGTCACAGAAGCAATCCTGAAACCCAGGAGTGCCTGCTGGAACTACAGCTTCCAGGGCCACTCATCAAGCACTCCCTCCCTTGGCTTTCCAAAGCAGACTAGAAAATTCAAAGCAAATCCCAGCTAATAAAATGACAATAAAAATGATGGAAATGATAATAGGCTGGGGATATTGGTGAAATGCTCCATCAAGGTTTTAAATCTTGTAATGAACTACCATTGATTGAAAACTCATGTTTGATTACAGTTTGATAGACTTTAGATAAACTTAAATTACTCCTTTTTTTCTGTGTTTCCAAATATTCTCTTAACTAGCCTGAAGCCTCCCTGTGTAGGATTGCAAGTCTCGCTGTTGAATACCAATTCCTTAAATCATGGTCAGACACTATTAAAATAAAAAGCTGTGGCAACTGTATGGCAGTTACTCACTTTAATACCTGTTAGTGACAAGAGTGCCTCATAAAAAAAAGACAAAGTGTAATAACGCCGAGTAAATAAGGAGATGAAAAAGTGATGTTTTTGAATCTTGAGACATTGCCCAAAGGAGTTTCTTGGTTTGAATGGAGTTTACAATGAGAAACTCAGTGTACTTAAGGAATACAGGTGTATGCACTGGAACAAGGACACAAAGGACACCTTTGGACTTAGTTCTTCCTAAGGCTTAACCTGGCTATCGATAGGAAAGGGAAATCCATGATGGTTAAACAGGAATACTAAAGAAGCATTTAGAGAGTCATTTAAAAAATTTATTTATTGAGTGGATCTAGTCCTAATGAGAGTCACACAATTCACCTTTTAAAAAAGATCTGTAGGGACTATTGTAAGATGTCCAAATTAGATGAACAAAAGAGGTTTAGAATAGTCAGTATCACTCATTTTACTGATCAATATCAGATTCAGGTATATAAGCAATAACTCCTGGTTCCAGCCAAGTTTTTATTGGGCATATCGTCTTTGCGATGTCAGATATCAGGATAGATACATAATGGTTAGATTCCAAAGATGTTCATGGAAATGTTTATACTCATTTAAAAATTGATACTATATTTTGAAAGCTCTCAATTTCAATACTATTCTTTTTTTTTCTTACTCATTTTCTTGTATCTCTGTGTTTCTGGTATACAATGTATTATAGGTTAACAAAATAGGAAAACAAACTTATTGTGGACAAATTATTAGCATAGTATATTCTCAACCCAGATACACATACTGGCAAATTTTAAAATTATGAAGAATTCATACTGCATCGTTAATTATAAGTATCAGAAAATATATCATTTTCCTTATTGTCAAATACAAATGGTAAAGTTTTAAACCAAGA